GTCACAAGCTATAAATGAGAACCTGTTAGCATCCTTACGCTTAACTGTCCAGTTTCCTTTTGCAGTAACTTCTTCATAGCAGTGTGGATGAGTCTTTGGAAGATTGATCATCTCGACCCAATATGCTGATAGGTACCTTGCATAATTTTGGCGGTCATATGCAAAATACCATGCCAGCATACGTCTCACTGTTGCTAAGTGAAGGCTCCAGTCAGAGCATGTGATAGGACATGTATATTTAAAGCCCTACCTTCTATAGATAAATAATTTGATTATGGAATTACATTGCATTCACACGCAATATGTAAATGTAATTGGAGTGACCCCACAGATTTGAGAACAAACATTTTTTTGTACCTACCTATATGTTTTTCAGTTTTGCTGAGAAGTCTTGTGTAATCTCGATAGCAGGATTTGTGGTATCGGACCTCGATTGCAATGCAGTCTTTCCCACGAATGTGTGTCAGAATGCTTTCATCTGATTTTATTTGAGCTGCCTCACGAAGAAGTACTATATTAAAGATACGAAGAATAAATTATAAACCCAGTTGGCAATATATTAACTTGCATAACATTCAATTCAAGTTAGTAAACATACCTGTGTTAATCGAGCTTGATCGCCGCTATCAGATGAAGCTGCGCTGCTTACGTCCTCCTCCATGTTTACATGTGCGTAGTGATATTGGCTTGATTTTGGCTCTGACCTACTTACATTTTCGATGCTGATTGGTTGAAAATCTAGCTCAACAGTTTTTTATGTCTCAATACGCAGTCAATATAGTGCGCCAATAAATTACACTTTTCTCATTAACTGCAGGATAATGCGTGGAGAACTTTTTGCTTGGATACCTTTTATTAACGTTGAACATATTGAGCAAAAGAAAAAGTAGTGCCCCGTTTGTCGGAACGAAACTGAACGATACAGCTCACGTACAGCGGCCTAGTAGGTTTACCCGGGCCTGCCCACCATCATGAAGGTCCTTAATGATTTTGAGCAGAGAGTCAGGGACTCTGAAAGCACGAAGAACCCAGAGCCCAGGCCTACTGTTGGTATCATAGTCCTTGACCAGGTCAATAAAGCAGAGATGTAGATCTTGTTGGAATTCCCTACGCCTCTGCTGTAGCAGACGAACAGAAAATATGGCATCTGTGTCGGACCACACTGCCCTGAAACCACATTGGGGCTCCGTACGCCTCTTCTCAATGTGCCTGGCAAGGTGATGTTGAATAATTTTTGCCAGTACCTTTACCAGCACACTGAGGAGTGAGATGCCCCTGTAGTTGTTACAGTCTACACGGTCCGCCTTCTGAAAGAGGGCGACCACCAGGTCTTACTTCCAATCGTGCGGAACCCGTCCAGTGGTCCAGACTGTTATTATGATGTCATGTAGGGAGGTCTGCACAGAAACGGCACCCTTCTTCAGCATTTCACTTGAGAGATATCTCTGCACGGCGCTTTTCTTGATCTCAGACTCTGGATCGCCTTCCGTACTTCCTCAACAGATGGCACTTCATGCAGCCACTCAGAAGAGGTGACGACTTCTTTCAATATTTAAATCACGGCACCCTCAACAGGGTCATCCCCACTTCGCCCGATGATGTTTTCCAGGCTGAGGGATTTGTACTCACCAACGACCTCACAGAAATGCTCAGCAAATCTGCAAACCTGTTCGGATCACCTTTCCTTCCCCTAATGATGCTGATAGGTTTGGCGCTGCAGGTTAGTTTTTGATGGACTTTAACAATGATTTGTGATCTCGGGTTACTGAGGCAGACTCGATGAACATGTACACACACATACAGATACACACAGGTTAATACGCACACGCATACATACATACAGATACACCCACATTAACATGCCAACACACAGATACACACACATGAACAAGCATACACACACAGATCGACACCTATGAAGGCCGGAAAGGTACACGAGGGGGTGGGTGGCCAGTATCACGCCCGACCGCCTTTGTCTCCCCAGTGGCGATGTTTACACATCGCACCAGGTACTCATTTGAGGCTGAGTCGACCTAGGGGAGGCCCAGGACCGGTTCAGAAAATCGTCACCGGTGTTTGCTGTGAGCAGGAATCGAACCCGGGTCGCCAGGTTCGCCGCTAACCACTTCACTACCACTCCTGCTTATGCACACACACATACAGAGACACACATGAACACTCACCCAACAGATACACACACATGAACACAAACACACACAATGACACACCGGTCTCTCCAGACAATGACCCCTAAGGAGTTCACTCCGATCGATGGCTCTGATGTCAAAAGAGGAAATTCATTCCACGTGTGCTGTTGTTGTTGCTGCTGATGATTGAATGAATCCCCAAATTCCTTTAGAAAATAAGGGATTATTAGGCTGATAAAAAACACAGAGTTCATTAATCATTCAGAGTCTGCTGCTGCTGCTACTCCCCTGCATGGGGTATATGGCAGTGTTATTTGACGAATGGGAGAGAGTGGAGAGGTTTCATACACACACAGAGACCCATAGACACAGAGACCCATAGATTCGCACAGAGACCCATAGACTCACACAGAGATCCATAGACCCACACAGAGACCCATAGACTCACAGAGAAATCCATATATCCACACAGAGACCCATAGACTCATCACACAGAGACCCATAGACTCATCACACGGAGACCCATCGACTCACATAGAGACCCATAGACTCACACAGAGACCCATATACTCACTCAGAGACCCATATACTCACACAGAGACACATATACTCACACAGATATCACACAGAGACCCATATACTCACACAGGTACCCATAGACTCATCACACAGAAACCCATAGACTCATCACACAGAGACCCATAGACTCGTCACACAGAGACCCATAGACTCATCACACAGAGACCCATAGACTCATCACACAGAGACCCAAAGACTCATCACACAGAGACCCATTGACTTATCACACAGATACCCACAGCCTCACAGAGACCCATAGACTGACATTGCCTGTGTCAGCTGATATTTGGATGTCTTTGCATAGCTGCAGCTAGTAGCCATTTGCACAGCGTCTTGACAGCATTTGGTGTCTTGTCATATGTGGTACATTTGTAATTGGCGAGGGCAATGCGCTTTTATTTCAGAATTGGTGTTAGGTACATTGAATTAGCTTAGAACCAGCCGTTTGACTTTCTAAACTTTTTGCCACAAGCTGTCAAGGCCGTTGCTGTGCATGTCCAGTAGGGTGTCCCATTTCTGCTGAGCACAGTGGGATTTGGGGACGTGGGAAAGTAATTCACCGAGGGCACAGAGGAAGGCTGCAGCTTTTGTTGGGTCAGCTGTTTTGCTGCTGCCGATGCAGGATGCTCTTTCCTGTGTATCTTTTTTTTCTATCTGTAGCTTGACTCTACAGCACACGAGGGAATGATCAATGTCGCAGTCTGCACTGTCGAAACTGCGGGTTTGGAGAATGCCTCTAAGATCAGCTCGTCGTGTTAGGATCGGGTCCAGCTGGTGACAGTGACCTGACCGTAGGGTTTCTCCAGGAGATTTTGCGGTGAGCTTTGGTCTGGAAGTATGAGTTGGTGATGCATAAGTTGTGGCATGTGCAGAACACGAGGAGTCGTTGCCCGTTCTTATTCATCTTACCAATGCCATGGTGTCCCGAGCAAGATGGCCAGGAGTCTTGGTCTGCGCTGACACTTGCATTGAGGTCACCGAGCAGACAAAGATGTTCATGTTTGGAGATGTTGTTTACACTCATTTTTTCTGGCAACAAAACTGGTGTTAAGATGTTAAAACACCAAACTTAAACCTTTTACAAGGAATCATGTCTGCATTAACCACAATGCTTGTGGTCAGAATACAAACAAAAAACATAATCTGATCATATATGTACGCCTTTTGTAGACACCAGGGTATTGCATGTCAGGAATGACATCCTTCGCAGATGGGATCAAATTACGGATTTTGTGTACTCTATTGAATCGGACCTGGATCTTGTGTTTGTTTAACCTTTGGGAAATATTTTGGTAACACCTGCTATGTATGGCAAGGTGATGGTTTTGATTGGGTCCTCAGATGGTTGTCTCCCCATGGTTGGGGCTACAGCTTTGCGGATTGTGCGGTCTGAGTATCCATTCATCTTAAGGGCTTGGTGTGCGTGATTCAGTTCACTAGCGCGGTGGCGCTGGTCGGACATGCAGCAGGCCCTATGGTGTAGTTTTTTTTTATGAGGGAGTTATACTGGGCCGGATGGTGATGGGAGTCAGGCTTTAGATAGGAATCCGTGCGGGTGGCTTTACTGTAGACGAAATGTCCGAACGAGCCTCTTCTCGATCAAAACATCCAGGAATGTTAGCTTGCCATCATTTTCCACTTCCATGGTGTTTTTGATAGATGAGTGTATGAAATTGATGTGGTTGAAAAAACTGGTCCAGTGCTGGCTGGCCATGTGGTCAGAGATAGACGGAGAGATAGACAGGTCACGGTCGGCCAACGTCTCCGAGACAATTGGGATACGCGAGTGGGAGGTCGGCGTGAGGGGGTGGGAGGTGGGGGGTGGACAGTCAAGCCCCAGCGTGGGCTGCGCTACGGAAAAAACCCGAGTTCGAATCCTGCTCATGGCCAACACCGCTGACGATTCATCTGAACCGGTCTCGGGCCCACTATAGGTCGACTCGGTCTTAAATGAGTGTGCGTGCGTCTAAATATCACCGCTAAAGGGAGACAAAGGCGGTTGGGCGTGGTGCTGCTGGCCACCCACCCCCTCATGTGCCACAGTGCCGGCCTTCATAGGCGCTGCTACTTCTCGCTACTAACAGCCACTTGACCCCGGCAGTCTGTTACAGGCTACATGGGGGATCTTTGTCTTTCTTGTTTGTGCGCGCGCGTGTTGACTGTGACGTCACACGTGGGAGGTCTGGACCAAGTGGGAAATGGAGGAGCACGTGACCCGAGTAAAGTTTAAAAGAGGAGACGGGGGAGAGGATTCCAGTGACTCGGTGACCAACGCTGAGCACCGACAACCTCCGATTAGCAGGACGCTCAGCTGCTACGTACGGTGGTGCGAAAGAAAATTCAACTCACCGTACGTATAAAGACTCACACAGAGATCCATAGACCCATCACACCAGACCCATAGAATCATCACACGGAGACCCATAGACTCACACAGAGACCCGTAGATTCCTCACACATAGACCCATATATTACTCACAGAGACCCATAGACTCACTCAGAGGCCATGGACTCCTCAAAAGGGACACATAGACTCACAAACAGACCCATAGACTTACATAGAGATGAGTACACTCACACAGACCCATCGACTCACACAGAGATTCATAGCCTCACACAGAGACCCACAGACTCATACATAGACCGACAGATTCACTCAGGGACCTGTAGACTCACACAGACCCATAGACGCACACAGATATCCATAGCCTCAAAACCCATAGACTCAAACGGAGACCCATATACTCATCACACATAGACTCACAGACTCACAGATAGACCCACAGACTCACACAGACACCTGTATACTCACTCAGCCCATAAACACCTCACACAGAGACCCATCGACTCAAACAGAAACCCACAGACTCATAGACTCACAAAGAGACCCGTGAACTAACATAGAGACGAGTAGACTCACACATGGACACACAGCCTCGCACAGAGACGAGGAGACTTACACATAGACCCACATTTGTGATGGGCAGGGCGCTTGTGGAAAAAGAGATACTATATAGCAGCTCATTCATACCTTACTTGGTAAAATAAAATAAAAGTTCGTGTTTAAATCCATCCTGTATACGAGGCGAGCTAGTTAACGTCTCGCCACTGCTGTCCCCAGATGTCCATCTCGGCCCTGCCGCTGCTGCTGGGGGTGGTGGTGGTGGTGGGAGCCCAGCAGGAGAGGACCATCTGCGCGGGCATCAACGGGATCCCCGGACAGCCCGGAGCCCCGGGGCAGCACGGGACCCCTGGGGCTCCCGGGAGGGACGGCAGAGATGGTGAGGGGTCGGGTCCCAGAGTCCCCCCACGGTGCGCTCGTGGTGGGACGCGATCACTCGCTCGCTCGCTCACTCGTTCACTCAATTGTTCACTCGTTCAATCAATTGTTCACTTGTTTACTCACTCGTTCACTCACTCAAACGTTCACTCGCCATGTCATGTCCTCGATCGTTCACTCGCTCATTCTCGTAGGAGAGTGTCTCGTGTAGAGTGAGATGAGAGTGGAGAGGCAGGAGAGTGAGTGGAGGGGAGTGCAGTGAGATGAGAGGGGAGAGGCAGGAGAGTGCGTGGAGGGGAGTGGAGTGAGATGAGAGGAGAGTGCGTGGAGGGGAGTACAGTGAGATGAGAATGGAGAGGCAGGAGAGTGCGTGGAGGGTAGCAGAGTGAGATGAGAGTGGAGAGGCAGGAGAGTGCGTGGAGGGGAGTATAGTGAAATGAGAGTGGACAGGCATTAAGAGTGAGTGGAGGGGAGTAGAGTGAGAGGAGAGAGGCATGAGAGTGAGTGGAGGGGAGTAGAGTGAGATGAGAGGAGAAAGGCAGGAGAGTGCGTGGAGGCGAGTGGTGTGAATTGAGAGTGGCTTGAGGAGCGGACGAGCCATGCTTTGTTCTTGTCGCAGGCGTTACCGGAGCACCCGGAGCCAAGGGAGACCTCGGGGCTCGAGGCTTGACTGGGGACCCAGGTGGGACTGTGACACTGACTCGTGTGCTCCTAGCAGCTGATTCTATGTATTTATTTTATTACCAAGTAATCCTCACTGAGCTATGCATAGTGGCGTAACGCGCGCAGGGTTTGCAAACAGCAGTTGCATTCATGTACGGGGTTGTAAACAGTGAGGTCAGCTCAGGACGAGCAGGTGCAGGCGGGTGGCCTGGGAGACAGCAGACAGAGAGACGCCGGCAATTAGGGAACGAGGCAGTGATTGGCTGGCTGCAAATGCAAACGCGGGGTAGGTGCCAAGGAGGCGAGAGATAGTGGCGATGAGGGTGAGACACGG